ATATTCCTGCTTCTTGGCAGGGGGTTGGACTGGATGGCCCATGAGGTTTCTTCCAACTCTTTGATTCTATGAAGTGACTGCAAGTCCCATCATCCATGGTCCATCCTCCTCCAAACTGCAGTAGGATGTAGAGTGGGTCATGGTTGCGTTCATGGAGATCATAATAGTGGAGAGTCACAGTAAAAATTGTCCTGGTTCTTTTAAAGATCTAAAGAAAGAGACTCGAATTGGCAGCAAGGCCCCTGAAAAGGCTTGTGATTCTTCCCGCCATGTTTGCCCTGGCTGAGGGGAGGCTTCAGCCGGAAGTGACGTCACTCAAAGGCTTTCGCTTTCTGTGCTGAGGAGGACGTGCATCCGGGAGCGGCCGTTTCCAACATGGCGGGGGCCCGAGCTTTGGACGAGAGCGGCGGTGGCGGTGGCGGAGCTGCAGCGGCGGCGGCTGCGATGGACTACTCGGTGCATGAGGCGTGGAACGAGGCCACCAACGTCTACTTGCTGGCCGTATTGGCCAGCTTGGCCCTCCTGGTCTACGCGCGCAGGTGGGGCTCTCCCAGTCGGAGGGCATTAATTGACGCTTCTGGGTTTGGAGGGGGCTTCATACAAGAGCCTGTACCTTTAAGGCGCCTCTCGACTTAAAGGCACAGACCTGATGAATTGCATAGGGATGCTCAGAGGCTCTAATTCAGTGGTCCTCAACCTTCCCAATGCTGTAACCCCTTAATACAGTTCCTGATGTTGTGGTGACCCCCAACCATCTAATTATTTTGGTTGCTAGTTCAGAACTAATTTTGCTACTGTTATGAATTGTAATGTAAATATCTGATATGCGGAATGTATTTTCATTCACTGGACCAAATTTGTCACAAATACCCAATATGCTCAAATATGTGGGTGGGTGGGTGGGTGGGGGGGTTGGATTGATTTTGTCATTTGGGAGTTGTAGTTGCTGGGATTTATAGTTTACCTACAATCAAAGAGCATTCTGAACTCCACCCATGATGGAATTGAACCAAACTTGGCACATAGGACTTCCAAGTCCAACAGGAAATACTGGAATGGCTTGATGGGAATTGACCTTGAGTTTGGGAGTTGTAGTTCACCTATGTCCAGAGAGAACTGTGGACTCAAAGAGTGATAGATCTATTGTTGAAGGCTATTGTCCAGGTGGTCAGTTGAAACATTCACACCTAGTATTGTCGAAGGCTTTCATGCCCGGGATCGCTGGGTTGTTGTAGGTTTTTCCGGGCTATATGGCCATGTTCCACTCTCACAACCACAATGTCAGACTACACAGAGAAGCCATTGAAATCCACAAGCATGTGGACAATTTCAACAGAAAGGAGGAAACCATGAAGATGAACAAAATCTGGCTACCAGTATTAAAAAACTAAAAAATTACCACAGCAAAACAACAGAGAGTAAACAATCAGGCACATCAATTCACTCTCAACAAGAGATTCCCCCCAGGCGCTTCCAGGCCATTGAATGCAAATCAAGGTGATCAGCTGAAACATTACCCTGGTCATTCCACAGATATATAAACCCATTTTTCCTACTTCCAACAGACCTCACTACCTCTGAGGATGCTTGCCATAGATGCAGGCGAAACGTCAGGAGAAAATGCCTCCAGAACATGGCCATATAGCCCGGAAAAACCTACAACAACCCATTCACACCTAGCTCCAACAGACAAGAGTTCTTTGTCCCACCCTGGTCATTCCACAGATATATAAACCTATTTTTCTAGTTCCAACAGACCTCACTACCTCTGAGGATGCTTGCCACAGATGCAGGTGAAACGTCAGGAGAGAATGCCTCTAGAACATGGCCATATAGCCAGAAAAAAAAGAGCATGCTGAACCCCACCAATGACCAAATTGGGCCAAACTTCCCACATAGAACCCCCATGACCAGCAGAAAATACTGTGTTTTCTGATGGTCTTTGGTGACCCCTCTGACCCTCCTCACGACCCCCCAAGGGGTCCCGAACCCCAGGTTGAAAACACTGATAATTTATTGTCGGAAGGCTTTCATGGCTGGAATCACTAGGTTCTTGTGGGGGTTTTTTCGGGCTATAGGCCATGTTCTAGAGGCATTTCTCCTGACGTTTCGCCTGCATCTATGGCAAGCATCCTCAGAGGTAGTGAAGACCTTACTACCTCTGAGGATGCTTGCCATAGATGCAGGAGAAATGTCAGGAGAAATGCCTCTAGAACATGGCTCTATAGCCCGAAAAAAACCCACAAGAACCTACTGCTCTAATTCTTCTGAAGTAGAGCCTCCAGCGCCTAGTATTCGCTGCCAGTCCTGAGCTTGGAGAAAGCCCCTTTTTTGGGACTGTCACTCCCTAGTTTTTATTGCTTGGCAAGTGTAAACCATTTCAGGCATGGTATGGGGGATCTGGCCCTCTGTATGTTTTGGATTACACCACACACCCTTTACCACTGACCATACTGGTCGAGTCATGCATTCTAAGGCCAAAACCTCTGGAGGATAAAGGTATATTTTATTTACTAGCTGTCCCCTGCAACGCATTGCTGTAGCCCAGTCTGGTGATCTGGAAAATAATGTAATTAGAAAGTGTGGGTTTCTAATATGTGTAATTTCTTTATGCTTGTGGGAAAACAGTATTTCTTCTTGTTTCTTTGTCAGTGTTGATGTGGAGATTATTATTTATTATTATTTACCTTACTTATATACCGCTGTTCTCAGCCCGAAGGCGACTCACAGCGGTTCACAACAAATACGAACAGCAAAAATTCAGTGCTACAGTATAGAAACAGTTAACAACCTAACACATTACACAATTAATAAACAGTTACTACAATACCCATTCACTGTCGTCTCGTCATCAAAAACATGTTCCAGATTAGTCATCCATTGTTCCATTCCAGTGTTCATTAAACAATCATTGCACTAATTATTCGAACGCCTGCTCAAACAGCCAGGTCTTCACTTTTTGCGGAATACCATTAGAGATGGTGCTAGTCTAATGTCCGTAGGAAGGGCGTTCCACAGCCGAGGAGCCACCACCGAGAAGGCCCTATCTCTCGTCCCCGCCAGCCGAGCTTGAGAAGCAGGCGGGATCGAGAGCAGGGTCTCCCCGGAAGATCTCAAAATCCTGGTGGGTTCATAGGCAGAGATGCGGTCAGATAGGTAGCTTGGGCCGGAACCGTTTAGGGCTTTAAAGGCCAACGCCAGCACTTTGAATTCAGCCCGGTAGCAGATCGGTAGCCAGTGGAGTTGGCGCAACAGGGGGGTTGTATGCTCCCTGCGCTCCGCTCCTGTTAAAATCATGGCTGCCGAGCGTTGGACTAGTTGGAGCTTCCGAGCTGTCTTCAAAGGCAACCCCACGTAGAGAGCGTTGCAGTAGTCTAAACGGGATGTAACCAGAGCGTGGACTACCGTGGCCAAGTCAGACTTCCCAAGGTACGGGCGCAGCTGGCGCACAAGCTTTAGCTGTGCAAAAGCTCCCCTGACCACCGCCGAAACCTGGGGTTCCAGGCTCAGCGATGAGTCCAGGATCACTCCCAAGCTGCGAACCTGCATCTTCAGGGGGAGTGACCCCATCCAACACAGGCTGTAACCCTATGCCCTGTTCGGCCTTGCGACTGACCAGGAGTACCTCTGTCTTGTCTGGATTCAATTTCAATTTGTTCGCCCTCATCCAGACCGTCACAGCGGCCAAGCACTGGTTCAGGACCTGGACAGCCTCCTTAGTAGCAGGTGGAAAGGAGTGACAGATTGTCTGGTTTGCCTACTCTGGGACATTAAACATATAATTGTCCTTTTTTAGGGGTGCCTTGCAAATCTATGATAGTATATCTGTATGTGTTTGAAATATATATATCTATTTATAAGCCCTAAACGGTTTGGGACCTGCCTACCTTCGTGACCGCATCTCCGTATATGAACCCACACGATCTCTCCAATCATCTGGAGAGGCCCTACTCACGATCCCACCTGCGTCGCAGGCGCGATTGGTGGGGACGAGGGATAGGGCCTTCTCCGTGGTGGCCCCCTGACTCTGGAACTCTCTGATCCGATCTGATCCCAAATTATCTCCTTATCCCAGATCATATGGCAAAGGAGACTCATATAATCCAATTCAAAGCAGATAACCTGGGATCAGATCCTGGGATATAAGGACTGTGTAGAAGGAGTCTCAGTTTATTATTATTATTATTATTAAACTTTATTTGTACCCCGCTAGCATCTCCCGAAGGACTCGATGCGGCTTACACAGGCCAAGGCCTCAACACACAATTTGGTGTAAATGAATACTTAAAGATGGGTTTGCCAGGTCCTTTATGTAAAATACTAGCAGTCCCCTGCCACACGTTGCTGTGGCCCACATGGGGGTTCTGTGTGGGAGGTTTGGTCCAATTCTATTGTTGGTAGGGTTCAGAATGCTCTGTGATTGTAGGCGAACTATAAATCCCAGCAACTACAAGTTCCAAACGCCCCCAACCCCACCAGTATTCACATTTGGGCGTATCGCGTATTTGTGCCAAATTTGGTCCACAGTGATCTCTGGATGTAGGTGAACTACAACTCCAAAACCAAAGGACACTGCCCACCAAACCCTTCCAGTATTTTCTGTTGGTCACGGAAGAACTGTGTGCCAAGTTTGGTTCAATTCCATCGTTGGTGGGGTTCAGAATGCTCTTTGATTGTGGTTGAACTATAAATCCCCAAATGACAAAATCATTTTTTTAAGTGAAGGACATACATTGGGTTGTTAGGTGTCTTGTGTTCAAATTTGGTGTCAATTTGCTCAGTGGTTTCTGAGTTCTGTTAATCCCCCAAACGAACATTACATTTTTATTTATATAGATACCCCACTGCACTGGGTATTTGTTGGCAGTCTCTCATCAGAGGACTAACCAGGTTTGGCCTGTTTAGCTTCCAAGAGGAAATGGGATTTGATGGCTTTAGGGTATTATCCCCTCCCTATATTGAAACCGAATGGGATGATTAGAGAGGGCACTCTTAACCCGCCTTGAGAATTTGGATTTGTGGCTGAAGTGAGATTTAAGCAATACTTTTCCTGATTCCAAATTATACTCAGTAGGCAGTATTTCTAAGAAAGGGACTGGTGACACCATCCTTGCTGGAAAAAAATGAAATTCATGGAATCGCCATAAGTTGATAGCGGACAAACAAATACACTTATCACTAAGTTTTTAGTGGGCGTGTTTGTGTTCTTACATATGTGAGATGGAGAAGTGTCTTGTCATTTTTTAGTATTTAAGTTCCTGGTTGTACGTGGCAGGGCTGTGGCGAATAAGTTTGTATTGCATAGCTAGTGTAAATAATTTCAGGAATGTTAAGGAAGCTCAGGCCCTCTGTATGTTTTGGATGACATCACACACAAATCTTTTGCCACTGGCCATGACTGGTTGAGTCTTTTTGCATTTGAAGGCCAAAACCTCTGGAAAATCAAAGGTTTATCAGCCTTGCTTTACTCTGAGGAGCTTGCTGCCCACGTGCACAGAAGCAAAAACTTCCTTGTATTCTTTTGTAGCTTAGGTTTTACAGGTATTTAACTCCAAGAGACTTGATGGCATTGTCAAAATGGCTTTTCTGGAGTTCATTGGGCACCTCTTGTATAGTTCACTGTCTTGCTGCTTTGATTAGCAATATCATATAAAGTAATTACTGATTCCTTTCTATTTTTGCATAGTGTTCAGTTTTTAATAATGTTGTTGGTTCTTAAGGTACATGCTATATGAGAAACAAATCTTCAGTGAGGCTATTCAGTCATTATGCTACACCCATGATAGCAAATGGATCTATATCTGAATTAGGCCAGGCGATGCTATTTGAGGAAAGACTACATCTTAGTCATCTGTACAGCTGTAGATAGTTTGACTGTAGGGAGAATGTAATAACTGCCAATTGCTGATCTTTTTTTCCCCATTTATCTGAAATATCCACCTGGATATGATGCACAGTTAGAATATTATGTTGAAAGACAGTAACATTTCATACTTGGAGGCTCCCTATCCTTATGGATGGGAGTTTTTCAAGAGTGAAATACTCAAGGCGCAATTGCAAATAGTACCAACAAAGAGAAAAAATAGGTCAAGTGCAAAGAAGCCAGAATGAATGTCCATAGAACTTCTAACTGCTAAGACTCAAAAGAGACATGCACAAGAAGTGGAAAAAGGGAGAAATCACCAAATAAGAATTCAAACAAATAGCCAACACCTGTAGGTAAAAGGTCCGCAAGGCTAAAGCACAAAACGAGCTCAGGCTTGCCAGGGACATTAGAAACATTAAAAGGGCTTCTTTTCTTATGTCAGTAGAAAAAGGAAGAACAAGGAGGTGATAGGGCCTCTTCGAGGAGAAGATGGGGCAGTGCTGACAGATTCCGTCTCTACCATTTGGTTGAAGCTGACGGTTTCTTTCTAAACAGACTTATTAGTATCTAGGAACCTAAACCATAAACATTTTCTGGACTAACTTCTAGTGCTGTATCAATGGTATACCAAAGAACTGTAGAAATGCTGCTCATAGTGGTTAGGCACTAATCTTGACACTTTCAGAAAGTAGGAATATCAATCCCCTTTAGGCTGTTGATTAATTCAAATCTAGTATCTACTACTAGCCATTTTGAAAAAATAGGTTATTTGTAAAATATATTTTTTCATTGAGTTGTGTTTTTGTTTTGATCAAAACTAGAGTGATGATATTGTGCTGTACAGTATACATTTGGAGACACTCATCAAAAGAAATATATAGATTAGTTATACCATATGCAACACTAGTGGTTAAGTAGAAAATAAAATAACAAACATATGCAAGTTGTACAAAATTCAAAATGTTGCAGGTACATTATATGACTTTAGTCCTTACAGTAGCCCTTTAAAGTAGGCAAAATTACTATTCCATATATATTTTTGTGTATATGTGTGAGAGAGACATACACATGGAGAGAGAGAAAGATAAGGAAAACTGAGACATAGACAAAATTACTTAAATGTCTTCAGACAAAAGTAATATTTGATTTGGGGCCTTCCCTGTGTGCAAGACTATGTCTTATGCACCACAATAGAATATGGCCACTATTATTAGGATATATGTTCCTAGGCTTACTGAAGTTTGTGAAAATCATGGATAAATAGCTAATTCTATTAAGTGAACAACTTCTACTGCAGTTCTGTCGTCAACTTCTGGTAGAAGCATACCATAGAGTTACACTATAACAGAGGGCAAGGTCATAGTCCCTCAAACTGCTGAAGGGCCGGATTATAATTTGAAAAAAGCATGAATGAATTCCTATGCACATATCTTATTTGTAATGCCAAAAAAAAACCCCACTTAAAAGCAATACAATAATTAAAATGAAGAACAATTTTAACAAATATAAACTTATTAGTATTTCAGTGGAAAGCGTGGGCTTGCTTTTGGCTGATGAGATATGATTGTTGTTGCTTTTGTTGTTGTTGTTGTTGTTGTTGTTGTGTGCTTTCAAGTCATTTCAGATTTAGGTTGACCCTGAGCAAGGGCCAGGTAAATAACCTTGGAGGGCCGTATCTGGCCCCCGGGCCTTAGTTTGAGGACCCCTGCACTAGAAGATCTAAGGGATGTCTAAGAAGACATTTGTTCGATGTATGTAATGAAACTATGGATACTGGTCCTGTGAATACAGGGGTTGTACTATATGTTTGCTGTTCATGTTAAAGGCTTAGATTGAACTTCCATGCATAGTTTTGCTATAATTATATTTTTACTATATAGCATGATACCAGATTACTTAAAAAAAACCCTGCATATTGGCCTTGCCAGCTAATTCTGGTACCACTCCCAAATGTTTACAAGCTAGATACAAAGTATGATACCGGATCTACACGTTTAACTGAAAGTGTTTTGGTTTCTCCATGCCACTAAATAATTCCAGTCACATGAAGGAACTGAATTTGACTAAATATGTTTAGATTCTGACTGAAGATATTCTGGTCAGTGCATGAAGGTTTGAGGACAAGGTGACAGGGACTATGCTGTTTTAGAGGCACATGGTGGTGTTGGATATGGGTGCAGGGGCGGCTCAACCCATTACACAAAGTAAGCATTTGCAGTATAGTTGATTTTGCCCAGGGGTGCTCTTGAGGCGCTCTTGGGAGAAAATAGACCTTGACATATGCGAGTTGTAGTTACTGGGATGTATAGTTCACCTACAATCAAAGAGCACTCTGAACTCCACCAATGATGGAATTGAACCAAATATGGCACATAGAACTCCCATGACGAACAGAAAATATATATCAGTGACTAGTTGGGGGGGGGGGATACTGTTTGCTTACTGTTGAAAATTACCTAGGGCCGCCTCTGTATGGATGCTACAATTTGCTTCCTAAAAGTATGGGAACTAATTGTGCTGTAGCCCAGCACAATTAGTTCAAGTACTTTTGTAAAGTTCCTTTGTGGAGAGAAAAAGTGGAGTATAAATAGACATAAACAACAACAATAATAATTTGAGCTTCCCATTTATGGGTAACCCCATTTACAAGGACAATGTTACTTCCTGTTTTATATATCTCTTCATTCAAATTTCAGAAATAAAAGGAAGATCATGAGGATTTTTACACTACCTCCAGCTGTTGAAATGCCAACTGAACCAAACTTCTATGACAGTGTGAAAAAAATTCGTCTACGACAGCAGTTAGAGATGTATTCTATCGGTAGGTATACATTTGCTGTTTGGGTATCAAGGATTTTCATTACAATTTAGTAATAAAATGGTATGGGTTGTGTGGGTGACAAATTCCTGAGTCACACACTGACTTACTATGCTGGTGAATCTTGAGACATAGTTTACCTTCATACATAGCAGGCTGTGAAACCGCTCCAAAATTTGTGCTGGTTGCGTAGACTTATAAAAGTGCTTTTATTGTAACCTTTTCTTCACCTTCTTTTAGTTCATGATGCTTGAAATACTGCTTTCTATTATAGTGAACTTGGAATGGTATCCCAGTCACCCTAGGTCAGGGCTGGAAGCTATATAAGTTAAGGTCATGCATTAAATTATTGTAATGTATCATGCTTCTGTTCAGGATTTCAGCCATGCACCGTTTCAGAACACTTTCTTCCACCACTGCCTCTTCTTCTGTTCCTCTAACTTTCTAGTCTTTTCTCACAACAGATATTTCATCTTCTGTTGTCACTGAAAATGTTTAGTTTTCATTGAATTGGAGCTGGGATTCCACCCCTCAAAAAGTTCTTTTTCATAAAACTTTTTTGGTATTTCTGTATACCTGTTGACGTCACTCTTGTTATATGAAAGGTGCCATTTTGGCTGTGTGAGTTGATACTTCAGAGAAAAAGTTTGCCATTAGTATAAACAGTATTAAAATAAGTATAACCCACAGGGGTATTTTGGTTGTTTTGTGAACAGCATATTCTCAGTTTAATATGACTAAGACTAACACTGTAAATTTAAATGAAAGGCGAGCAATGCACGGTAAGATCTATCTATCTATCTATAAAATGCTCTGTACATAATGAGTACCTTAAAAACAGAAGAGCCAATGAACAAAATCACACCAAATTTGGCAACAAAACATCTCATAACACAAGGAGTGACCATCACTTAAAAAATTATGATTTTGTCATTTGGGAGTTGTAGTTACTGGGATTTATAGTTCAGCTACAATCAAAGAGCATTCTGAACCCCACAAACGACAGAATCGGGGCAAACTTGGCACACAGAACTCCCGTGACCAACAGAAAATACTGGAAGGGTTTTGGTGGGCATTGACCTTGAGTTTGGGAGTTGTAGTTCGCTAACATCCAGAGAGCACTGTGGACTCAAACAATGATGGATCTGGACCAAACTTGGCACAAGCACTCAGTACACCCAAATATGAGCACAGATGGAGTTTGGGGAAATAGACCTTGGCATTTGGGAGTTGTAGTTACTGGGATTTATAGTTCACCTACAATCAAAGAGCAATCTGAATCCCACCAATGACAGAATCGGGGCAGACTTCCCACACAGAACCCCCATGACCAACATAAAATATGGTAGCCCCCCGACTCTGGAATTCCCTCCCCAAGGACATCAGACAAGCCCCTACGTTGGCAGTCTTTAGGAAGAGCTTGAAGACCTGGCTATTCCGGTGTGCCTTTCCAGAATAGGAAACTCCAGCAACACGTCCCAAAAGCACTTTATTAGAGATTAAGATTGTCCACACATTGCACTTATCCAAAATCCTTATATCACTCAGCATACTCAGCACTTTTTAATCTGTACCCAGTACATTTGCCCGGCCTAGTTTTATTGTGTCATGGTGTGCTGTTTTTACTGTTTACTGTTATTGCTTTAATGTTTTTGATTTGCTTTTGGTTTATATGTAATTGTCATATTGTTGTTTTATTGTGGCCTTGGCCTTTGTAAGCCGCATCGAGTCCTTCGGGAGATGCTAGCGGGGTACAAATGATGATGATGATGATGATGATGATGATGATGATGATGATGATGATAATAATAATATATGGCCATCCAGTCCAACTCGCTTCACCAGGGCAAGAAAACGTAATCAAAGTCCTGACAAAGAGCCATCCAGCCATAGATAGAGATAGATAGATATGATTCACACACACACACACACATATAGTATCATAGATTTGAAAGGGACCCTCTAAAGAAGGACAATGATATGTTGCATGTTCCAGAGTAGGCAAACCAGACAACCTCCACATCAACACTGGACAAAGAAACAGCAAGAAATACAGTTTACCCACAAGCATCAAGACATTACATATATTAGAAACCATCACTTTCTCATTACTTTATTTTCCAGATCAACAGACTGGGCCACAGCAACGCGTGGCAGGGGAGAGCTAGTGAATAAATGAAGAGGGTTCCTTATAATTGCAATGAAACTCTGTGTTACGCTTCTAGTCGAATTGACAACTTTTATTCTGGGCAGGCCTACGACAGTTTACATGTTTAAGATTGAAAGATTAGATATGACATGGTATTCCCATTATTATATCATAATGTATCTAAATGCATTTATTTTTCTAGCAAGGAAATATGACCACCAGCAGCAACCACAGAAACAGACTGATAGTGTACAACTTCTGGTGGAATGAATTCTTGAATCTCTGAAGCTGAGAGGCAATGCTGAAGATGACAGAGCATCTGGGATGTAGTCACTTTCAGTGCAACATTATAGGTATATAGTCTTTTCTGTTGCATATGGTGTCTCTTAATGATCGGTGCTGTGTAAATGTACAATGAATGTTGTCTGGAAACAGGAAAAAATGGTGTGCTGCCTTTCAGTTTGTATAACAAATGATTTTCAATAAAAGTGATTGCTCACGAGAGCAGGCCAATGTTCAATTGAGATACTACAGCTGTTCTTACTGGTGGATTCATGATGAATTTAAGAAGTATATGTTATCTGATTTGTAATAATGTTATCAAATGCCTTGGTGCTGGCAATGAAAGAACATCTCACACTGAGATGTTTAAGTATATTTTGTTTTCATAATAGAATATAGATGAAAAGGTTGACATATTGGAAAATGCACTTCTTGTTTTGACTAATGAAATATTAGCATATAGGCAAAACGCTGTGCTGTGACTAACATGCTAGTTTGATATAGCCCATTCTGTTAGTCAAATGAACCTCAATGTTTACATAATGTTCAGGTCCTCATTTAAATTTGCCCACTGAACTCTTTCTCTAGTATATTCCAAATTGTGTATTTCATTTTTTTTCAAACCTGAATACTTCCAGTTAAGATTATATGGAGTTTCAGAACTCAGTGGTACCAAGCTTTTTTTTTTAAAAAAGGTTTAAGTCCTTGGATCTGTGTATCCAGATTAAGGCTAACTAAAAATGTTTAAAATGTCTTGACATAGCCCCATTTATGAAGTCTGTAATTTTATGGCAAGGACAGTTGCTCTTAGCTTCTAAATGGCACTTTAATAAGCAAAATGTTACAAAGAAGAACATATTGTGGCATTATAGGGCAATATTTCTATTCTTAATGTTTACAGCTAAAACTGCTTAAAAGCAGGTACAGTTAAAGTCTTACGTAGTTTTCAAATATTTTAGACATCAATTACATTGAGATTATATAGAGAATGAGCGAAAAAATTATATGTATACAGATGCTCAGGAACATGAAAAAAGTTTGATTTGGACTTTAATTTTCATGAAATATTTGAATGAAATTATAAGTTAGTTCCCCAAGCAGCTAGTATGTATCAAATTGATAGGATAAAGATAAATTCTGTCTGTGAGATTTTCACATTTTTGCCCTTGTTTCCTTTGTCTTGTGGGGAAGGTAGGCATTCAAATACATGGGCACAGCAAGAATTATTTATTTTCAAGGGTTTTTATGATGTTTATGATCTTTGGGTACAGTTTTGAGGTCACAGTTCTAACAGAGGAACTGTCAAGTAGACACTAGCAGAAATACAGTAGCTTGGTCTTTACACATTTTAATTTAAATGTATCATATAATGAGTACCTTAGGGTTTAGTCACTAATATCCTATATTAGTAGCACAGGGGAGAGCATTTAGCTTCAAAGAGTTTGCCATTTGTAGTCATATTGAGGGAAGCCAGTAAGTCTTTCACTGTGGAGGACTATTGCTTGCATTCTTCTGAGACAGTTTTTTTTTTTTAAAAAAAACATACAACAGTTATTCCAGTATCTGGGTGCAGCATTATAGCAACGAAGTTATTACGTTTTTTGAATTACCAATACTACTACAAATAGCTAGGTTTTTGGTTGTCAATGTGCTACTTCTAAAATGCTTGCACAATCCTTATGTATGAAATACTTGTTTTGTTTTCAACCTTAGTAAAAATTATATAAAGCTGGATCTGTTTGAAATGTCTTTTTTCCGGCACTGTACTGTTGTCGATTTAAAAAAAAATCTCTACAACATTCACCTTAATTTCCTAGATAATACACTAAAATGATATAACACATAGCAGTATATTTCTGTATTTTATTTTTAAAAATGGTTCAGCATTCTTTTGAGTGAGATAGTTGCGCCCGTACTTTGGGAAGTCAGATCTGGCCACAGTGGTCCACGCTCTTGTTACATCCCGAATAGATTACTGCAACGCACTCTACGTGGGGTTGCCTTTGAAGACTGTTCGGAAACTTCAATTAGTCCAGCGGGCGGCGGCCAGATTACTCACTGGAGCGTCATACAGGGAACATACCACCCCTCTGTTATGTCAGCTCCACTGGCTGCCGATCCAGTTCCGAGCACAATTCAAAGTGCTGGTTTTGACCTACAAAACCCTATACGGCTCCGGCCCAGCGTACCTGTCCGAACGCATCTCCTTCTACGTCCTGCCTCGGAGTTTAAGATCTTCTGGGGAGGCCCTGCTCTCGGCCCCACCTCTATCACAAGTGAGATTGGTGGGGACGAGGAGCAGGGCCTTCTCGGTGGTGGCCCCTCACCTGTGGAATTCACTTCCCGGGGAAATCAGATCATCGACATCCCTCCTCTCTTTCAGAAGGAAATTAAAAACATGGATATGGGACCAGGCTTTGGGTAATCTGGCAGATAGACAAAGGACAATGACGACTAGAATTGATAGGATTTGACAATGTGGAATGAATTTATGGATTTTGAGCTGGCGAACGTTGAACATTAGATTGGTTTTATTGATTGTGATATATAACTTGATTGTTTTAATTGTTTTATAATTGCTATTGATACATGTTTTATCTTATTGTTGTTGTTGGCATCGAATTGTGCCTTTTGTAAGCCACCCTGAGTCCCCCCTCGGGGGTTGAGAAGGGCGGGGTAGAAATGCGCGAAATAAATAAATAAATAAATAGTTGTGATGGCCAACTCTTTTGTTCTAAAAAATCTAAGATGCAGTGGCCACTGAATAGTGCAATATTTTGGGCAATGCTTAAGTAGATTGTTTGGGAGGAAACACATATAAGATGTATGTGGGACAGGTGTTGTTTTAAAAAATATATCCAAATGAGAAGAGGAAAAGGAGGAATTTGACTAAACAACAAGGGAAGGAACGCTAGCACTCTTACTAATTAATGCAGAGCATTGAGATATGAAGTTGTTGATGGAGACATGGGAATAGAATAAGGTTTAAGTAACTTTTTCAGCACTTTCCCTCTGACACCTAGGTCACATGCAAAAGTAGACAGATAGTAAACAGGGAGCAAACATTAGACTCAGAGGTCTTTAGCCACTGGGCTACAGCAGTGGAGAACTATTGATTATTTGCATTTGGAATCCTAATTTTAAATGCAAGAACTAAATATTTTTACAGATGAAAGAAAAGCATCTTTGCTCCTACCTTTTGGGATGGGGTGGGGGAGTACAACTATGCTGAAGTCCTTGATTGCACTATTATTTACTGCTAGTCACCTGTCAGAAAAATGGTTCCCACAACTCACAATGCAAAAAAAACTCTGGACTCTCAGTTAAGGTGTTTGTTATCCTGCCTCCTCTTTACTGTTACTTTTGGCCTTTATGTTATGGACATTTAGAAATCAGGGAAGATCGCAGTTCTCCTGTAGAGGCTGTGTGTGTGTGTGTGGTAGTTTGGAGAAAGGATGTGGAAGTCTGAAGAATATGTATAGGAAAGTTCTATATTTGAGATGATGCTGTTGAAGGGGAGGGAAGCATTTTGAAGGAAGGAGAAAAGCAGGAAACTGTTGATAATCAAGGCTGGAGAGGTGGTTGTACCTCATTGAAGTATAGTTGACACATACCACATAGTGAGATTTTGCATTTGATCTCAATATTGTGTCCTTGTAGGAGCCATTTTTGAGGCAAACTGCTAATGCACAACAAAAAAATTGAGTTTGGTTGCATGTGCAGCCATTTCAATGGTATGCTTTCCCTAAATCCAGCCTATACCTTCATCCCAGTGGTACATGACAATTCAGCTTGTTGCCAAAAGGTACCAAATCCATCTGAACAAATTGTACAGGAATTGAAAAAAATGGGTAGAGGATATGTATTCCTTTGCTATAAAATGAAATTCCTCTGTACCCACATGATTTGATATATTTTGATAGTTTGGATCTGTATATAATATTCTAGTCCTTGACAATAATGTGCTGCCATTTTTCTTTGGGGGGGGGCATGAGGGGAATTTGGTACCTTTTGGAAACAAGCTCCACAATTGTGTATGAAAAAGATGACAGTGCTCTGATCTGTGAAATGTTCTGAATGAATTTCATGCCTGCTTTGTTTGGGTATGGGCATCAGAGCTGCTATATCTACATTGAGGTTTTCTAAAACGAATCATCATTGGATGTGAAAAAATCTTGCAGCATCTCTGTGGCCATGTAAGTTGAGTCTCTAGGGAGAGATTTCCCATCTTCCTCTGGCTTGAAGGAAGGGCAAAAAATGCCTTGTCTAGATGACTGGTATGGGGTGCTATGCAACACTTTGTAATGGGTTAATATTACTATATTGTGTGAAGTGGGATAGGAATAGTGTGTTCTGGTAGTTGTAGTCCCAAGGGCATATTTAAGATAGTTGACTTCACACTCAGAAATCCCATTGTTGACATGTTCTAAATCAGTGGTCCTCAAACTTTTTAAACAGAGGGTCAGGTCACAGGCCCTCAAACTGTTGGAGGGCCAGATTATAATTTGAAAAAAAAAATGAATTCCTATGCACACTGCACATATCTTATTTGTAGTGCAAAAAACTTAAAAACAATACAATAATTAAAATGAAGAACAATTTTAACAAATATAAACTTATTAGTATTTCAATGGAAAGTGTGGGCCTGCTTTTGGCTGATGAGATAGGATTGTTGTTATTGTTGTTGTTATGTGCTTTTAAGTCATTTCAGACTTAGGTTGACCCTGAGCGAGGGCCGGGTAAGTGACCTTGGAGGGTCGTTTTTGGCCCCTGGGCCTTACTTTGAGGACCCCTGTTCTAAATTGTAGCAGAATTCAGGCCACTTCTACACTGCAGTATAATCCCGATTATCAAAGCAGAAAATCCACATCTGCTTTGAACTGGATTATATGAGTTTACATCCCGTTCCTTGAGTGAGCCAGATTTAGCCACAGTGGTATACGCCACAGTTACATCCCATCTGGATTACTGTAACATGCTCTATGTGGGACTGCCTCTGAAGTGCTCGGAAACTTCAGCTGGTCCAAAGAGCTGCAGCCAGGTTGCTAATTGGGGCTGGCTATAGGGAGCAGATAACTCCCCTGTTGCAACAGCTCCACTGGCTGCAAGTCTGTTACTGGGCACAGTTCAAAGTGCTGGCTATAACCTTTAAAGCAGGGGGCTTCAAACTTTTTAAACAGAGGTCACAGTTCCTCAAACTGTTGGAGGGCCTGATTATAATTTGAAAAAAACCAAAGAAACCATGAATGAATTCCTATGTACACTGCACATATCTATTTGTAGTACAAAAAAAACTTTAAAACAATACAATAATTAAAAGGAAGAACAATTTTATCAAATATAAACTTATTAGTATTTTAATGGGAAGTGTGGGCCTGCTTTTGGCTGATGAGATAGGATTGTTGTTGTTGTGTGCTTTCAAGTCATTTCAGACTTAGGTTGACCCTGAGCGAGGGCCGGATAAATGACCTTGGAGGGCCGTATCCGGCCCTCGGGCCGTAGTTTGAGGACCCCTGCTTTTAAAGCCTTCAGGTCCAGGCTAGTTGGTCGACCGCATCCCCTTGTATGAACCTGCCAGGGCCCCAAGATCTTCATGAGAGGTCTTTCTCTTGGACCCACCTTCACCTCAAGCTTGGTTGGTGGGAATGAGAGAGCGGGCTTTCCTTCTCGGCTGCTCCTCGACTCTGGAACTCCCTGCCCAGCGAAGCCAGAATGGCCCCTTCCCTGCTGTTCTTTGGGTGACAGGCCAAAACCGTGTTATTTAGGCAGGCTTTTAAAGATGTGAGGTTTTTAAGGTTGTCAGGAGCTGCTTTGATTTTATATGCTTTTAATGATTATGAATACTGTTTTAATATGTGTATATTTGAAGTTATATTGTGGAGCCTCCATGGCACAGCGGGTTAAATTACTGAGCTGCTGAACTTGCTGACCAAAAGGTCAGCTGTTCAAATCTGGGGAGCAGGGTGAACTCCCATTGTTGGCCCCAGCTTCTGCCAACCTAGCAGTTTGCAAATGTGAGTAGATCAATAGGTACCGCTCTGGTGGCCAAGTAAAGGCGCTCCATGCAGTCATGCTGGCCACATGACCTTGGAGACGTCTATGGACAATGCCGGCTCTTCGGCTTAATAATGGAGATGAGCATTTACCCCTAGACAGAGAAGACTAGACTTAATGCCTTTACCTAAGTTATATTGCAATTCTTTCAGTGTGAGCCGCTTTGAGTCTCTTTATGGAGAAAAAAGCGGGCTATAAATAAACATAATAATAATAATAATAATAATAATAATAATAATAATAATACTCTACCATATAATCTAGTTCAAAGCAGATGATCTGGGTTTTGTATGACAAGTGTAGAAGGGGCTGGAATGGAAACTGAAAAGCTTTTGGGTGGCTAAGGCTCCATCTACACTGCAATATAAAACCTAGATTATCTGCTTTAATTATCTGATTATCCTCATAGGACCTTGCCCTGTGAGGGGCATCTTAGGAACTGTGTATGTTTATTCTGCAGAAGAGAAGGTTGAGAGGAGACATAATAGCCATGTATGTGAATATGTGAAAGGATGTCATAAAGAGGGAGCAGGCTTGTTTTCTGCTGTCCTTGAAATTACAGGAAAGGAGATTCCACCTAAACATTAGGAAGCGCTCCAAGAAAAATGCAGCGAACAAATCAACCTCTGTACATGGCATTCATTGACCTTACAAAGGCATTCGACACAGTGAATCGCAGCGCTCTCTGGACCATCCTCCAAAAATCGGGTGCCCTAACAAATTTGTGAACATCCTGCAGCTCCTCCATGATGACATGATGGCAACAGTCTTGGACAGCAATGGCTCCCAAAGTGACCCATTTAAGGTGGAATCAGGTGTCAAACAGGGATGTGTTATTGCTCCAACCTTATTTTCCATCTTCATCGCTATGATACTTCACCTTGTTGATGGGAAGCTTCCCACCGGAGTGGAAATCATCTATCAGACAGATGGCAAGCTATTTAACCTCAGCAGACTGAAAGCCAAAACCAAGGTCACAACAACATGTTATAGAACTCCAATATGCTGATGACAATATCATCTGCGCACATTCAGAAGACCTACAAGCCACTATAAACATCTTCGCAGAAGCATACGAGAAGCTCGGCCTGTCATTGAACATCGAGAAAACCAAAGTGCTCTTCCAGCAGTCACCAGGCAATCCCTCTGCAATGCCAGAAATTCAGCTTAATGGTGTAACATTAGAAAATGTTGACCATTTCCGCTACTCTCCACAAAAGTCAACATTGACACTGAAATACAACACCGCCTGAGCTCTGCAAGTGCAGCATTTTTCCGAATGAAGCAGAGAGTGTTTGAGGACCGGGACATCCATAGGGATACAAAGGTGCTTGTTTATAAAGCTATTGTCCTCCCAACCCTGCTATATGCCTGTGAGACGTGGACTGTCTACAGACGTCACATGCAACTCCTGGAACAATTCCATCAGCGCTGCCTCCAAAAAATCCTGTAAATCTCTTGGGAAGACAAGCAGACAAATGTCAGCATGCTGGAAGGAGCAGAGACCACCAGCATTGAAGCGATGGTAAACTCCGCTGGACTGGCCACATTGTCCAGATGCCTGACCACTGTCTCCCAAAGCAGTTGCTCTACTTCGAACTAAGAATGGAAAACAGAATGTTGTCAGGAAGGAAAAGAGATTTAAAGATGGACTCAAAGCCAACCTTAAAAACTCTGGCATAGACACTGAGAACTGGGAAGCCCTGGCCCTTGAGCGCTCCAGCTGGAGGTCAGCTGTGACCAGTAGTGCTGTAGAATTTGAAGAGGCAGGAATGGAGGGTGAAAGAGCTGGGGGTGGTGACGCCCCACAAGGAGCTCTGGCGCGGTCTGGTCCATGAGGTCACAAAGAGTCGGAAATGACTGAACGAATGAACAACAACTGGATTATATGGCAGCATAGACTCATATAATTCAGTGGATTAGGTGCTTTGATAATTTGGATTATATAGTAATATAGATCCTGCCTGAAATACACCTTTCCCCTACACCAGTGGTTCTCAATCTGTGGGTCCTCAGGTGTTTTGGCCTACAATTCCCAGAAATCCCAGCCAGTTTACCAGCTGTTAGGATTTCTGGGAGTTGAAGTTCAAAACATCTGGGGACCCACAGGTTGAGAACCATTGGTGTAGGGGGAAAGGTGTACCGTCTCTGCTGTCGAGGAGTGGAAAACAACAACGTCCATCTCAGTCAAACCCACCTGAACCCTCCCCGTTTTTTCCTCTCTCTATGTTATGACCAAGCAGCTCTCACTTCCGTTCGGAGGGAGGAAGCGCTCAGTCGACCGGAAGTCGGGGCTGCTCTGGGAAGGGTGTCCTTGCCGAGTCTCTTTGGTGCGTTCTGTCTACTTCCGTTTGGTGGCGCTCCCCCTTTTGGCTTTGTTTTTCTCGATGTGCATCCGGGTTTTTGCCGGCGTGTTTGGCGGCTGTTTGCGGAGAGCGGGCGAGGCGAGGCGAGGCGCCGGCGGGAAGCGTGGCTGGCGGGACGGTGAGCAAAGGCAGCCGGCGGAGGGGGCGGGACGACTTTTCGGGGCTTCCCTCCCCTGTCAGTTCGCTCTCGGGTGTCCCGGTCAGGGTGACCTGCAGTCACGAGGATTCTCTCTTCAGGCGCCACCGGGCTTTTCTGTCGCGACCCTCTGTTATGTTTCCCCCCCACCTTTCCGAAGGTCTTCCGGGGGACGTCACACCCCCTGAGAACCCTCAAAGGTCAACAGGGAGGGAATGGGGCACCTCAGCCCTTTTCTCCTCAGGCAGAGTCCACTCCACATCGTGAGGGCCCTCTGCGCGCTCTCTCTCCCCAATCCGCTTATCTCCCTCCCTCTCATCAGGAGAACTTTTGTCAGCCTCGGCTTTCCCTCTCATACAATCCTCTAGTTGGAAGAGACCGCATGGGCTAGGCAGGACAAGCACAATTAGAGCGCCCCCAGCAGATGGCCATCCAACCTCTGTTGAAAAACCTCCACCACATTCCCAGATTCACTCTTGAACAGCTCTCAGGGTCAGGGCGTTCTTCCCAAGGTTTAGCCGCAATCCCCTTTCCTGTCTTTGAACCCATTGCTCCCAAGTTGGAATGTGTCCAGAGGAAGGCGACTAAAATGATCAAGGGTCTGGAGAACAAGCCTTATGAGGAGCGGCTTAAAGAGCTTCTGGGCATGTTTAGCCACAATGGAAAAGACATATTGACAAGCTGGAATGTGTCCAGAGGAGGGCAACTAAAACGATCAAGGGTCTGGAGAACAAGCCCTATGAGGAGTGGCTTAAAGAGCTGGGCATGTTTAGCCACAGCTGAAAAGAGATATTGACAAGCTGGTATGTGTCCAGAGGAGGGTGACTAAAATGATCAAGGGTCTGGAGAATGAGCCCTATGAGGAGCAGCTTAAAGAGCTGGGCATGTTTAGCCACAGTTGAAAAGAGATATTGACAAGCTGGAATGTGTCCAGAGGAGGGCGACTCAAATGATCAAGGGTCTGGAGAACAAGTCCTATGAGGAGCAGCTTAAAGAGCTGGACATGTTGTTATTATTATTATTATTATTATTGTTGTTGTTGTTAACTTTATTTGTACCCCGCTAACATTTCCCAAAGGACTCGGTGCGGCTTACAAAGGCCAAGGCCCTCAATAAAACAACAGCGAACAAATACAAACAATGAAACTCATAAAGCAAACCAATAAACATTAAAGCAGTAACAGTAAAACAATACCTCATAACACATTAAAACTAGGGCTGGACCAAATGTAATGGATAAAGTTAAAAGTGCTGGGCATGACAGGTGAAATATAAGGATTTTAGGGTAGGTGCGATGTGCAGACCATCTTAATTCTCTAGTAAAGTGCGTTTGGGACATGATGCTGGGAGTTTCCTATTCTGGAAAGGCACACTGGAACAGCCAGGTCTTCAAGCTCTTCCTAAAGATTGCCAATGTTGGGGCTTGTCTGATGTCCTTGGGGAGAGAGTTCCAGAGTTGGGGGGCCACCACAGAGAAGGAGAAGGCCCAGCTGGAATGTGTCCAGAGGAGGGCGACCAAAATGATCAAGGGTCTGGAGAACAAGCCCTATGAGGAGTGGCTTAAAGAGCTGGGCATGTTTAGCCTGAAGAAGAGAATGTTGACAAGCTGGTATGTGTCCAGAGGAGGAACAAGCCCTATGAGGAGCGGCTTAAAGAGCTGGGCATGTTTAGCCACAATTGAAAAGAGATACTGACAAGCTGGAATGTGTCCAGAGGAGGGTGACTAAAATGATCAAAGGTCTAGAGAACAAACCCTATGAGGAGCAGCTTAAAGAGCTAGGCGTGTTTAGCCTGAAGAAGAGAAGGCTGAGAGGAGACATGATAGCCTTCCCAAAACAAGGAAAACTCTTAGCAATATATCCTCAAATGCACTTTAATATTGATTAGGATTGTTGTAGGTTTTTTCGGGCTATATGGCCATGGTCTAGAGGCATTCTCTCCTGACGTTTCGCCTGCATTTGTGGCAAGCATCCTCAGAGGTAGTGAGGTCTGTTGGAACTAGGGAAAAGGGTTTATATATCTGTGGAATGACCAGGGTGAGACAAAGGACTCTTGTCTGCTGGAGCTAGGTGTGAATGTTTCAACGGATCACCTTGATTAGCATAAAATGGCCTGACAGTACCTGGAGCCAACTTTTGTTGAGAGGTGTTGAGATGTCCTTACCCTACCTTGTTCATGCCCAGCATTTTAAATTTTAATTATTACATTTGGACCAGCCATAGGTTTTTAAATGCTGTATGTTATTGTTATTGTTTATTGCTTATTGTGTATTTTTGTTTTTGAGTTTTATTTTAATTGTTTGTATTGATTATTTGTTATTGCCTTTGTTTATTGATGTGCTGTGGGCTTGGCCTCATGTAAGCCGCACCGAGTCTCTTGGGGAGATGGTAGCTGGGTACAAATAAAATTATTATTATTATTATTATTATTATTATTATTATTATTATTATTATGTATAAATATGTGAGAGGAAGTCATAGGGAGGAAGGATCCCCTCCCTGTTTTTTACATTGTCCTATCTCCCAGTGTTTTAAAATTTTATCCTTGAATTTGGCCCTGCTCAGAGTGATCATCTGTGTTTTACTGTTTGATTTTATGCTGTTATGTTGTTTACTTATATTGGTTTTGCATCTTATGTAATTTATTTATTTATTTTTGTTGTGTATTTGTGTTTATATTTTGTTTTACTGTATTGGTGGATGTGGCCTTATGTAAGCCGCCCCGAGTCCCCTTGGGGGAGATGGAGGTGGGGTATAAATAAAGTTTTATTATATTATTTATTATTAACTTGTTTTCTGCTGGCCTGGAGACTAGGGCGCGGAACAATGGCTTCAAGCTACAAGAAAGGAGATTCCATCTGAACATTAGGAAGAACTTCCTGACTGTGAGAGCTGTTCAGCAGTGGAACTCTCTGCCCCGGAGTGTGGTAGAGGCTCCTTCTTTGGAAGCTTTTAAACAGAGGCTGGATGGCCATCTGTTTGAATGCAGTTTTCCTGCTTCTTGGCAGGGGGTTGGACTGGATGGCCCGTGAGGTCTCTTCAACTCTATGATTCTAAGCCCAAGGGCCCTCACGGCCATATACCTCTGAATAACCCATAATATCTCCTTTGTACTGAGTTATCCAAGGTCCCTTCCACACAGCTGAATAAAATCCCACATTTTCTGCTTTATAATAATTATAATGGTAATAATAATAATAATGATAATAATAATAATAATAAAACTTTTTTTATATCCCGCCACCATCTCCCCAAGGTACTTGGAGCGGCTTACATGAGGCCAATAAAGCACATCAATAAAGCAATAAGCAAAAAAAAATAAATAAAATTAATATAAATCACATATAAACAATAACACACGGATTTAAAAACCTATGGATTTAAAAACCTAGAATATATGGCAATGTGGATTCAGCCCTATTAAAAGCAGATATTGTGGGATTTCCTGCCTTGATATTCTGGGTTATATGACTGTGTGGAAGGGCTCTGAGTCCAGACTTCCCTATATCCCAGTTCAAAGCAGATAATGTGGGTTTTTATTCAGCTGTGTGGAAAGGGCCCTAGTCTCCAAGGCAGCAGAAAACAAGCTTTCCTGTTCCTCAGTGCGACATCCTTTCAAATATTTAAATATCGCTGTCCTGTCCCTTCTCAACCTTTTATGCAGACTAAACATACCCGGGGCTTTAAGCAGCTCCTCATAGGAATACTTATAATTTTAGTTTCTCTCCTATGGACATGACTGTGCTTCTTAAAACTTGACACTTGCCTTGAATTTGATAGAGTCTCTCCTAGGCATGGGCAAACTTTGGCCCTTTGGGTGTTTTGGACTTCAACTTCCACAGTTGTTAGGAATTGTGGAAGTTAAAGTCCAAAGCACCCAAAGGGCCAAAGTTTTTCAATGCCTGGTCTGTCTCTTTATCTTGCACTTGGGCGTAATACGGCTTGGACTTTAAGCTTTTAAGGTGGCATCAGCACTCTGTGTGGGAGGGGGGATAATGTTATCACGATGTTCTTTTCATTGGAAGAAAGGTGAGGTAAACATAGTATTCATCACAGTCCACTCTCCCTGTACAGTGATACACCTACCCAGGGCTTGAAAACATGACCCAAATAGCTCCCATTCCAGTCACAAATCCCTAGACCACCACCATCTGTGAATCCCACTGATATCTGAGGCCCCTTCTACACAACTGTATAAAATCTACATTGTACTGGATTATATGGCAGTGTGGACTCAGATAATCCAGTTCAAAGCAGATATTGTGGAGTATCTGCCTGCCTTGATAATCTAGGGTTTTTTTTGCTCTGTGGAATGGCCCTATATCTACCCTATATCCCAGAATATCAAGGCAGAAAATCCTACAATATTTGCTTTGAACTGGGTTATCTGAGCTCATACTCAGATAATGTGGGATTTTCTGCTTTGATATTCTGGAATATAGGACTGCATGGAAGGGTCCGAAGACTCCTTCTACAGTGCCATATAAAATCCAGTTTATCTGCTTTGAACTGGATTATATTGCAGCGTAGAATCATAGAATCTTAGAATCAAAGAGTTGGAAGAGACCTCATGGGCCATCCAGTCCAACCCACTGCCAAGAAGAAGGAATATTGCATTCAAATCACCCCCGACAGATGGCCATCCAGCCTCTTTTTAAAAGCTTCCAAAGAAGGAGCCTTCACCACACTCCGGGGCAGAGAGTTCCACTGCTGAACGGCTCTCACAGTCAGGAAGTTCTTCCTCATGTTCAGACTCGTATAACCCACTTCAAAGCAGATAATGTGGACTATCTACTTCGATCATCTGGATTCAGTGGCAGGATTGAAGGGGCCTGAGAGTTACAACTGGCCAGATCTGGACCAAATAAGTGCTGCAGCTTACCAGGTCTTGGGTTGAAAGGATTTGCACCTCCACAGGATTGTGATTTTAGAAATGGCCCCATTATACACTTATGCATTTTCTAATGTGTCCATTTGTAAAAT